CGTGGGAGAACATAGCGGCGTACAGCTGGGCAGCGCAGTCCTAGCATGGACGTATCGATAGCTATGCGTTGCTTGCCGTCGCACCTCAGGGTATGCGAACCTTTGAGGTTGCTCCTACCACCCCAGGTTTGGTGTTGGGAACGATGGCCCGTTGGGAGGCCCCTTGCTACTGGTTTACCGGTAAGTACTTCAGTTCACTATATTCTTCGAGGCAGTTACATATGATGAAATTATTAATGGCTAATTCATTATCGTGTTCAATGCAGCAATGGAACGGACATGATACACTCCCTACAGCTCTGTATATCTAGATGGAAGCAGAGTTAGTTAGAGAGAATGCGAGGTGCAAGTACAGGGAGTACACAGACGGTCTCGACATCCTGACACAGCACCAGTTACGCTCTCTTTACTATCATACATGTGTCTTGTTCGATGTACACTATATCACAACCTAACTCAATTACGAAATGTTCAGGTGCATTGGTGTCCTTAGGATGCTCCGGAGCTCGAGTACTATCTGAGTCCTGTCACTAGGGATGAGTCAAACGAGTATCGTTGCAACATCCCTCTTATTTTCTTCCATGTGGTCGAGATTCACTTGTCCATTAGGGTTTGCAGACAGTTTGGAAGAATGACAGGCTACCCACCACCGCTTTACTCCACCAACCAAGAATTACACGGGTGCGTTATCGATTAATAACAAAGCTACAATTCAGAGGTGTGTTTGGTACAACTAACAATCGTTTTGTTGTAGGTATGACCGCAGGAAGAGGTACAAGACCAAGGATTGATGCGTGACACACAACGCGTACATCCAGTTGTGGCAGAACCGGGACCGGTAGGCGGTCCATGCAGGTTCCCCACACGACCAGCACACCTTCGACGAGTACCTGCGGTGGCTTCATAGGTCTACGAGGACACATATCGAGCCCCCGTACACTGAGAAGGCGATTGACGAGGACTCAGAGGAAGATGTGATCGAAGATGTGTACGATGTTGCCACTAGGGTCGACACACAACTACAGAGAGCCCCACTTCAAAAATACGTGGTAAGATACTCGAATGGTACATTTGTTATCCATTTGGTATTAAGTATGTTTACTAAAACTGTCCAACCGCGTTTCTGTACTCAGGCGACATAATTGTCATGGATGTCCAACGAAGCAGCGTTTCGGCTTCACGAGTCTAGAAGGCAGAGGCTAGGCGTTCTCGAGGCTTTTGTGGAGGTAAACATAAACTTGTCCGTTCCGAAAATGTTTCTTTAGTGTATATGTGTTTGGGAAATGCAGTAACTTTAACGTCTATTTATGCAGAAGGTGAAGCGGAGCTGCAGGAAGCTTGCTCCGAAGCTGAGCTGCATGGACACTCCTTAGGTGGAACCGGCAGTCCCAGCGTGGTCGGGTGGCACGTCTTCTGGCTTTTTGAGGACACCAGCCGACTCTTCTCAGCCGATGACAGGTGCCACTTCCGCAGTGTGTACACCACCACATCATAGCGCTGGGAAGGACCCTGCAACCGAGGACGACGACGACGACGACGACCCCCTAGGCTTCCGCAGACAACACCACCAGTGGGACGATTGGCCGCAGGACGAGATCGGCATGTGTCAGCTAGGTGGTGCCTCGCTTGGTACCCAATGAGCCTCACAGGTACTAACAAATGTAGTTTCTTTAAATACGTAGGCTCCATGAACTAACGATCATAAAGATTATAAGTAATCGTGCATATCATATACTTGCAGAGTACGAGCCGTACGCACCGGCAACGCGACCACACCGATGTTGGCTACACTCCCAATGTGTTGTCAACAAATCCGAAGAGACAGAGGCGTACGAGGGATCCTTACACTCCTGGGTCTTAGTTTGTTAGGTCGAACGAATATTACTTGCAGGCTTAATTGGTTATGTTATGTCGAACCAATGAAAATGTTACGTGGCAGCTTGTCAACTTGCGCACGGACTTCATTTATTTGCTTCATATTCGTTTCAATGCGTCGCGGCAGCACTGCCGGCGAGATTAACTAGCAACTAGTTCGGGAACCGGCAGTCCCGGCGTATCTCGCCACCGGTGGCCGACGTCTTGACCCCGATCCTCCCGAGCTTGGTCATCGCCGCCACGAAATCGCCGAAGAAGGCACCCTGGTTGGACGCGCAGTAGTCGACCGTGCTGCGCGACCTCATGTCGGACTAGAGCATCTGGTCGGAGCCCATCGGCGAGGGGTCGAGGAAGGCGAAGGCGTTGGGGTCGGAGCTGCAGGTGCCATTCAGCTGTGACACAAAGATGGGGTCCATGGTCGCGTCGCTGCCGATCCTCACCAACAGCAGCCGATCGCGTCCAGGTCCTGCCGCGCCGTGGGCTATGGCGCGTCAGTGCCGCGCCGTAATCGGTGGCGCGACAGACCCTGCCACGTCACCTGTCAGCAGCCCCGGTGGTCGCCACGTCATCCTCCTGCCGCGCCACCATGCATAGCGCAGCACAGGCGTTTCGCCGCGCCATAGCAATAGGCGCGGCCAAAAGTGTTAGTTTTAAAAAAAACAGTGTTAGATTTAAAATTAGTTTACAAAAAGTGTTAAAATTAAAAAAAATCGTAAGAGAAAATGTGTAACCATGCAGACACTGATAGGTCAACAAGATTTCAGAGAGATGAAGGATTCAGGGACATATGTACAGGACAGCATTCTCAGGCCAGGTGTTGGTATCTGAATGCATTATATTCATGCGAGAACAATAAAGAAATAAATATAATCTGCTCATGAGTTGGTTGGGCGAAATTTGCTGAATGCCATTTTTCTGAACATCAAGTGCCCTACTTGGTTTCTGTCCTAGCCACTATTCCTAATTGTGAATTTTTTTAATAATTCCTAACTGGATTTTGACAGCAAGGGTGGCAAACTCTTACTGCCATCCTTGCATGTTGCTGCATACGAAACTCTGTTTCTCAGTTTAAAGCATACAGACAGTGAAGTAATCTGTCACTGGTGACTGGTGAACCTATCCTGTTTTTTCTTTCTGATGCTGCATGATTCATGTGTGTGGGTGTGGCTAAGTGCTCTAATGCTTTGTCAATATGGAATTGAATAAGATTTCTATGTGAGCAAGTTCAGCTCACTTTACAGGATGGTAAAAAGTTTTAATAAGGAGCCTGCTGCTTGTAAGCTGTGAAGTCACCACTTTAATAGTGAGCACTAGTCGTGTTGCTTGTGTGCATTTCATTTCAACAGTTACGTTGAATTTTGTTTACCTTTTTGGTTTCTATTTTTTCTTTGTTTGCTAGAAAGGACTACATGAGAGTGGTGCTTATTAGCTGACCATAGAAATCCTAACTAGTACTCCATCTGTTCCAAATTATAAGACGTTTTGGCTTTCCTAGATTCATAACTTTTACTATGCACCTATATATATATATATTATGTCTAGATACATAGTAAAAGCTATGAATCTAGAAATGTCAAAATGTCTTACAATTTAGGACAGAGGAAGTTGTTCATTTGTTATGTTCAACACATTTCATTGTCTGATCACTTAGCCACTTAGCAGAACTTTATCTACTATGGGTACTTGTTTTACTACCATTAATACATAGGGCTACTGATATAGTCAAGAGTAGCAGTGCATATCAACTGTATTCTTACTTTCAGCTCTTGAGAGACTGCATGCATGTCAAACTCTGTTTCAGTTTAAAGCATCCAGAACAGTGAAGTACTATGTCACTGGTGAACCTACCCTGCTTTCTCTTTTTGATGCTTCAGAATTCATATGTGCGGAATAAGTGCTCTAATGCTTTGCCTATATGGAATCGAGTGAGATCTCTATATGAGCAAGTTCATATCGGTTTAATCGGTGATAAGAAACTTTAACCAGGAGCCTTTAAGCGTGTAAACTGTGATGTCGCCGCATAATGCTGACCACTAAGGTTTGTTGCTTGCGTGCATTTCATTTCCGACAGTTACGTGGAGTTTTGTTTTTCTTGATTTGGTTCTTACCTAGGATGATACCGATGCTTATTTGCTGACCATACATATCTGAACTAGTAATTCATTGGTTACTTGCAAAACATTTCATGTGTTTGATTTGATCACTATCTGTTTGGTCACCAGTTCCTAGAATGTAATCTATGGCCATACGGTACAAATGCTGCTACTATTTTGTTGTTTTTCTCTCAGATTTCTAAGGTTTACGATTTGTCGAAAAGATAGGGTAATCAGCTATGGGTGAACTAGCTGATGCATGCTGTTGAAGTGATCTGATGCGTTAATCTGTACGTGTTCCTGAACATTAGCCTTGAACAGGAAGAGAAGAACATGTAACATGCATACAGTGGTAGTGATGGGGCAGCGAGATTGCATTGCAGGGATCTGAACGATTCAGGAACTTATGTAAAGCATGCATGGCTGTTGCCGTGTTGGTATCTGAACTCATTTTATCCATGCGACATTAGAACAACAGGGAACTGAAGATGATCTGTTCTATCAGTTGGTTGGGCGAAATTAGCTGAATGCCATTTTTCTGAACATCGAGGGCCCAGTCTGCTTGGATTTTTGGACAGCAGGCGGTGTAGCCCACCTGGACCGTTCGATTCCATTTGCACGGTCAGCGATTCTCCCAAGACCAAGTCAAGATCTCTCTGTCTCTGATCCCATGGCCCCACCTGGAAGCCTGAAAGCAGAGCACGGAGCAGAGCTGTAGATACTTTCCTCACCTGCTGCGCCCCGCCGGCCAACCACCGTGGAAGCAGATCCGCCGCCGGCGAGCGCGCTGATGGCGATGGAGGAGGAGGTCCCGCTGCGCTTCGCTCCCAGCTAGCCCGCTCGTCTACAAATGCTGGCGCCGCCTCGTGACGGGGCCAGGGTTCCCGCCGCCGCTACCGCGACCTCCACCGCGGGGTGTCGCCCGCCTTCGATGCTGGGTTTCCTCTCCAAAGACGGCCCCGGCCCGAGCGCCCGCTTCGTGCCAACCTATTTCTCGCCAACACCTTGGACGAGGGCGCGCCCGCATCCGCAATGCACCGGCACCGGCACACAACGACGGCTCGTGGGGAACGGCTTTTGCACTTCGAGGCGGGCACAACAATGCTGGAGTACGATTTGGGCTCGCGGGAAATGAAGGTAATATCACTACCACACAAAGCTTTTGGGGCTATTTGGAAGGAGCGGCATCAGAGAATCTTTCAACATAAAGCAGCATCCATAGCATCAATCACCACAAAGATTAAAGAGGAAGCAACATCTTGGGGAGCAGGAGGCAAACACTTAGCATCCCTGTATTCCAGAGAGTAGCCATATCTTTTTTTTAATTAATTTCTTTACCACCTCCGTGGGACTTTGTAACCTCTTCTCTATTAATAGAAATTGGCACAACTTGTGCTGGTTCGAAAAAAAAAAAAAGCTTTGGGTCTAAAGGAAGTGCCAAATCACACAGCTTTAGTCCAAAAGCCGGGCACTGGTTGATATACCTGGTACTTTCTTTGGAGTTGCTGGTACACAGAACATGCATCTGTTGCTAATCTGACAATCTTTTTTTTGTGACCTTCATACCATATTGGTGCTCTACGGAGAAATTACGTTGGTCATGGATGGTGATGGCTTGATTTTTGTGCCCTTCATATCATAGATGCTGTACAGAGAAATTACATAGGTCATGGATTGTGATGGCTTAGTGCTTCACATAGCGAAGGGTCGGGATGCAACATTCAAGGGCTGTAAGCCAACTGGTTGTAAAGAAAAAGTTAAATCAGCATAATCAGGTGAAGGCGAAAGCAGTTCAAAGGTCATGCATGTGAATGGACTATTGACTTTATCAATTTAGTTATTCTTATACGTCTTGGATTTTTGACCCGAATTGTTCTTAAAATCCCTTGCTCTCCTTGGAGTTTTCATGAGAAGCATAGAGTACACAGTTCAGCAACATCAAAACTTACAGTGTGCTTTCTTACCCATCCTGCAGCGTTGTCTTCCTGAGGAGCGAGAGTGATCTCCCAAATGGAAAGTTTCCTTTCTGCAGTCCTTGGTGAGCTGATGACTTGATCCATAAATTTCATCATCAGCAAGTGCTCGAAGCCGCCAGCACTGGTTGTGGAGGAAAGCCTACAAAGGGCTCTTCTTCGGGCACAGGTCATCATCGAGGAGGCCATGGGACGGCACATCACAAATCAATCTATGATCCACCAGCTTGACATGTTGAGAGACGCCATGCACCAAGACTATTATGCACTTGATGCCTTCAGGTACCAGCCTTACTATGTAGAAGAGGATGGCAAAGATCAAGCTGTGAATTACTTTATCTCCGTATCCAAGGTACCCTCTCCAATGGAACCCTATTTCTCTGGTCAAACTGCAAGATTCCTTCAACAACTACGAGAGGCACTTGACAGATTGAGCTCCATGATTGTTGATCTGAATGAGTTGGTCATGTTCTTGATGAGCTATCCTCGCCTGTATCGCCAGCCTTACAGCATGCATATCCTTCTGGGTAACTGCATGTTTGGTCGCTGCATGCAGTGTGAAATAGATTGGAGTCAGTTGTAATTGTTGCCCAGACATGAACAAAATGGATCTCAGATTTGGGCTAAGCCCAGGGGCAGCTTGGCCACTAGGCCACTTGGATTGAAACTGAAAATTACAAGACTTGGAATACAAGATGGTCTGCCACTGCTTATATAGCAAAGTGGCTTTTCCTACTCTTACCTACTCTAGCATATTCTGCTGCATAAAGCAGATACCAAACTTGGGTGCTAAGCCACCCGAAAACACTTAGACAGTGAATAGTAAAAACAGGAAAGTAAGATACAAGCAGCTAGGCTTAACTATCAGTAATGTCTACTGAATTGTTTCACATTATGAGCTGTATATGTACACAAATCTTTGTACATGTACTCTAAAGTGCAGCAGTTTTGATCTGTATAATGCTTGCTCTGTTTTATTTTTTACACTTGAATGAGAGCATTCAAATTTATGTTCTTGCAGTCATCTGATACTCAAATTGTCTTCTTTTGGATGGTCAGCAGGTGCTCCAATCACTCCAACTTACAGGTATCTACTGCAATATGCTAATTAAAACTACAGCTTAGAAGTTTCAATTTTAAAGTGTTGTATGCAAGTGTCCCTGTGACATTGACATATGGTGGGATCTTGAAACTCATCTAAATTTAGGCAGGAAAGGAACTAAAAAAATTGTGTTGTCTACACAAGCTTTTGAAATAGCATTTAAGTTTCTACTGTTAGCGATATTAGCCAACACAAGAAGGTCAATTGCTTCATCGGGAATTTATAGTGCAAAATCTGGTCTGAAGGCAACTCCTGTTCAGTCAGTTGGTTAAAAAGTGGAACAGAGGACACTGATTAATATAGTTCTTAGCTGGTATACAGAACTACAGTATACCAGTTGCTAAGCTAACAATCTTATTTTTGTGACCTTGATATCATAGGTACTCTACAGAGAAATTACATAGATCATGGATGTTGATGTCTCAGTGATTCACTTAGCGAAGGATTGGAATTCAACAGTCAAGGGCTGTATGTATTCTCTGGAAGTGTAAACAGAGAAATAAAAAGTCAAATCAGAATAACCAGGTGAAGACGAAAGCAATCCCAAAGGTCATACATGTGAATGGACTTTTGACTCTCTTTGAATTTAGTTACTCTTATATGTCTTTGCTTCTTGAGCTCAATCGTTCTTACAGGCCCTTTCTAACTTGAGCTTTGACGTGAAGCAGAGAATACAGAGTTTCAGAAACATCAAAACTCACCTCGTGTTTTCCTGCCTCGTCTTCCTGAGCAGGAAGGGAGAACTCACATGGAAGATTTCCTTCCTACAGTCCTGCGAGAGCTGATGACTCGACCCATAAACTTCATCATCAACAAGTGCTTGAAGCGGCCCGCAATGGCCATGGAGGATAGCCTACAAAGGGCTCTTCTCCGAGCACAGGTCATCGATGAGGAGGCCATGGGACGGCACATCACAAATCAAGCCTTGATCCAGCAGCTGGGCATGCTGAGAGATGCCATGCACCGAGGCTATTACGCACTCGATGCCTTCAGGTACCAGCCTCACTACGGAGAGGAGGGCAATGATCCAGCTATTAGGGGCTTTATGTCCCTATCCAAGGTACCCTCTCCAAAGGATCCCTATTTCTTCAGTCGAACTGCACAGTCCCAGGTGCAACTAGAAGATGCACTTGACAGATTGAGGTCCATGATGTTTGATCTGAATGAGTCAGTCATTTTCATGATGAGCTACCCTCGTCTGTATCGCCAACCTTGCAGCATGCATATCCTACTTGGTAACTGCATGTTTGGTCGCCAGATGGAAGCAGAACTAGTTATTAAATTCCTGTTGCACACACACCCTCATTGTTCTCAAGATTTGGAGGTCATGCCAATTGTTGGTCCACCCAGAGTCGGCAAGAGTACCCTAGTCGCTCATGTTTGCAAGGACGAAAGAGTCCGTGATTATTTCTCAGAAATCTTGTGGTTGTGTGAGTTCGATTTTACAAATGATGAGCTAGTTTGCAGACAAGGATGTGTAATGAACCATCAAAATTGTATGCCAAACTCGAACAGAGGCAAGAGATTTCTTGTTGTCATTGAACTATCTGGAAATCTCAGCGAGAGGCATGGAATAGGTTGTATCTTGGTTCCAGAGGAAGCTTTTCTAGTGGTAGTAAAATCATAGTCGCAAGCCGTTCAAACAAGATTGTAAAGTTTGGAACAACACCGGCTCTAACTCTGAAGTTTCTTTCCAAGGAGGCATATTGGTATTTCTTCAAGACACTTACATTTGGATGCATGGACCCTGAGAAGCACCCAAATCTTGCACAACTTGCCATGGAGATAGCTAGATTGCAGTATGGTTCATTCCATGGTGCATACATCATGTCTTATTTGTTGAGGGACAATTTTAACATACACTTTTGGCGCAAGGTTTTGAGCTTCTTGAGAGGGGTCATCCAGAAGCATGTCTCTGAATTCAAGCGTGCATCCGCTTTGATCTTCTGTATCAAAACAGACCTGTACAGCATGGAAGAATGGCTACACCTTCCGAAGATTTCATGATTTGTCATCAGTATCACCGTTCTCCACAAGAGGAGGTTCCGGAGATAAGAATCCAAGATTTGTTGTTTGGAAGCATTAAGAGACATGGAAAATTTGAGGTCCTAGTATGGAGATCCCAGCTGCCCCCCTACTACAGCTATGTCAATGCTTGTGAGATTCGAAAGCGAAAAATTACAGGTGTGAAGAGGAAGCACTCTACGAAAGATGGAGCTACACTCTGTTAATTTTGACCTTTTCTGGTTTTGTTATATAATTTTATTCACTTTTTGTGGGTAGGATGTCATAAGTGACAGCAGAGTCAATTCTGAAGTGTGCTGGATTTTCATATCTGAAGTGCAAGTGCTTATCTACATAATGACACATGAGTTGGAGGCATATATTTTCATGGGATATGGTGAATCTTTCCCTATTGTTGGCTTTACTCCAGAAAGCAGACTCAGCCTGGGCTTCAACCTTCAAGCCTGTCTTCTCGGCTTTATCTTTTCAGTTCAACCCAGCAGGCCATCCTGTCAATAGAACCTCAGTCATGTTTGGTAGTTTGCATGACTGGTTGCCTTATGGAGATGGAACAACTTATCAGTGCCCTGTTGCATGCCAAGCAGAGTCGACTTGGTTCAAGAAGTTTGGCATCCCACCAATCTCTGGCCCAGAAAGAGTTGGAAATTGGCTGGAGTTAGTTGTAATGATTTTTTTTCCGCATCTCATGATTGCATAGTATACAAAATTTGTACACTTGAATGAATGCATTCGAAATTTTTGTACTTGGTCCTCTGAGATTCTAATCTCATTGTCTTCTCTTATCGTAGTCAGAGTGTTCTCAAATAACACCAACTTAAAGGTATCTACTGCAGTATGCTAAGTAAAACTACAGCTAACAAGCTTTTGAATTTTAAATTTTAAAGTGTTATATGCAAAATGTGTTCCTGTAACATTGACAGACAATGGATCTTGGAACTCATCTAAATTTAGGCTGGGCCAGTAAAATTACTGAGCAGCAAAGGAATTGAAAAAGTGTTTTCTACATGAGCTATTGTACAGTGCAGCAGTTTGATCCAGTATACTGCTTGCTCTGTTTTCTTGTGTACACTTGAATGAATGCATTCGGAATTTTTGTACTTGGTCCTCTGAGATTCTAATCTCATTGGTCCTCTGTAACTACGGTATATCAGTTGCTAAGCTAACAATCTGATTTTTGTGACCTTGATAACATAGGTGGTCTACAGAGTAATTACACAGATCATAGATGGTGATGGATCAGTGGTTCACTTAGCGAAGGCTTGGAATTCAACAGTCAAGGGCTGTACGTATTCTATGGAAGTACCCAACCGGTAGCAAGTTCAAAGAAAAATAAAATGTCAATCAGAATAACCATGTGAAGGCAAAAGCAGTCCTAAAGGTCATACATCAGCAGTCCCAAAAGTCATACATGTGAATGGACTATTTACTCTTTGTATGTCTTTGCTTCTTGAGCCCAACGCCCTTTCTCTCCTTGGAGCTTTGATGTGAAGCATAGCTTACATAGTTTCAGAAACATGAAAACTCACCTTGTGTTTTCTTACCCATCCTGCTGTGTTCTCTTCCTGAGAAGAAAGAGAGGACTCACATGGAAAGTTTCCTTTCTGCAGCCTTGGGTGAATTGATGACTAGATCCATGAATTTCATCATCGACAAGTTCTCTAAGCCGCCGGCACTGGCCATGGAGGAAAGCCTCCAGAGGACTCTTCTCCGAGCACAGGCCATCGACGAGGAGGCCATGGTGCGGCACATCACTAATCAAGCCATGATCCAGCAGCTGGGCATGCTGAGAGACGCCATGCACCGAGGCTATTACACACTCGACGCCTTCAGGTACCAGCCTCACTATGGAGAGGATGACAGTGATCAAGTTGTGAGTCGATTTATGTCCCTATCCAAGGTAGCCTCTGCAAAGCATCCCTATTTCTTCAGTCAAACTGCACAGTTTCGGGAACAGCTACAAGAGGCACTAGACAGATTGAGCTCCATGATTGTTGATCTGAATGAGTTGGTCATGTTCTTGGCGAGCTACCCTCGTCTGTGTCGCCAACCTTACAGCATGCATATCCTACTGGGTAACTGCATGTTTGGTCGCCAGGTGGAAGCAGAACTTGTCATTAAATTTCTGCTGCACACACAGCCTCATAGTTCTCAAGAGTTGGAGGTCCTGCCAATTGTCGGTCCACCCAGAGTCGGCAAGAGTACCCTAGTCGCTCATGTTTGCAAGGATGAAAGAGTCCAAGATTATTTCTCAGAAATCTTGTGGCTGAATGACCTTGATTTTAAAGATGACGAGCTAGCTTTCAGACAAGGATATGCGATGAAACATCAAAATCAAGTGTCAAACTCGAACAAAGGCAAGAGATTGCTAGTTGTTATAGAACTATCTAGAAATCTCTATGAAGATGCTTGGAGTAGGTTCTATCTTGCTTCCAAACGGAGCTTTTGTTGCGGGAGTAAAATCATAGTCACAAGCCGTTTAGACAGAGTTGCAAAATTTGGAACAGCACAGGCTCTAACTCTAAAGCACCTATCACATGAAGCATACTGGTATTTCTTCAAGACACTTACATTTGGAAGCATGGATCCCGAGACACACCCAAGACTTGCACAACTGTCCATGGAGATAGCCAGAACTCAGAAACGTTCGATCATTGGCGCATACATCACCTCTTATTTGTTGAGGAGCAATTTTGACATCAATTTTTGGTGCAAGGTTCTGAACTTCTGGAGAGGGATCATCCGGAAGCATGTCTCCAAATTCGCGCCAGCATCCATCTGAACTTTTCGACCAAAACAGATATGTACAGATTGGAAGAATGACTGCACCTTCTGAAGATTTTATGCTTTGTCGTCGGTATCAGCACTCTTCCCAAGAGGAGGTTCCAGAGATAAGAGTCCAAGATATCCTGTATGGAAGCATTAAGCTTCATGGGAAATTTGAGGTCCTATTATGGAGATCTCAGATACCACCGTATTATAGCTATCTTTGTGAGATTCGAGAGCGAAAGGCTACAGGTGCCAAGAGGAAGCGTTCTATGAAAGATGGAGTCACATTTTGTTAATCTTGTCATCATATGCCTATACTCAGGAAGTTATTTTTATTTGCTATTTTTGGGTCTGATGCCATAATTTACATTACAGTCAAAATGTACAATAAATAAGATGTCACAGGTTACAACATCGTCAAATTCTAGCTGAATTTTCATATGTATGATGCTGAGAGGCAATTCTCCAAGGGATGTGATGAACTCATTGTCACCCCAGATAGCAACCTCAATATTAGAATATGAATCAGTTTAGAAGTTGAAACGATAAGTCACTTGATTGTAATCTATAAATACTTGTATCATGTGATGAACTCATTGTCATTGGCTGTACTTATGAGATTCAAGAGCGAAAGACTACAAGTGCCAAGAGGAAGCGTTCTATGAAAGATGGAGCCACATTTTGTTAATTTTGTAATTACCTGTCTCATGTAGGAACATAGTTTTTTTTTTTGGGTGGGGGGTGGGGGGGTTAGGATGCCACAAGTTACAGCACAGCCGCACAGGGCAGTGTAAATAAAACCTGTAAAGTGTCACAGGTTACAGTTACAACATCATCAGACTGTACTGCTACATTTTCATATGTCCATTGGAGTTGATCGTGGCAAGACAGCCTGCCTCAGATTCGATGGTCCTTGATGCAGGACTGCTTAGCGGTCATCGTGGCGCAACGGAGCAGCCTGGAACATCGCCACCTATGTTCGCAGACTGCTGGGTACCGCCCAGATTTGAGCAAGACCCAACCTCTCTTGGCGAGGCGATCGCTGGAGGGCAGCCGGCCTCAGATCAGATGGTTCTAGAGGCAGGGCTGCTCAGCGGTCCCTGCGGCTCAACAACCCCTCCCTCCAGCGTTCCAGGCAGTGCTAAGGTCGGGCGTCCGTCCCTGGGGCATGGGGAGACCAGTGATGCAGAGCCAACCATGACGGGACAGGCTGATCATGCGGGTGCAACTGGCGACCAGGAGGGGACGGAGGTCCCACCGTCCTCACCATCAAAGGCACACACCACGGCTGCGCTTTTGGCCCAATGCATGGATGCCGGACCGCAAGTTGAGGCGGCCGACGGCACAGCAACGGGTGTCGTTGAAAGCTCTAGTTTGGTTTTGGTTAATTGATGAAACCCTAAGTGCTAACCTAGTTTATCAAAGTGATTATGAGATAGGTAGCACTACTCCAAGTGACAAAGCAATGGCGAAGATCATGACGATGGTGATGGCATGGTGATGATCAAATGCTTAAACTTGGAAAAGAAGAAAGAGAAAAACAAAAGACTCAATGCAAAGGTAAAAATTGTAGAGGCCATTTTGTTTTAGTGATCGAGACACTTAGCGAGTGTGATCACATTTAGGATCGATAGTCATACTATTAAGAGGGGTGAAACTCGTATCGAAATGCGGTTATCAAAGTGCCACTAGATGTTCTAACTCATTGCATATGCATTTAGGATCTAGTGGAGTGCTAACACCCTTGAAAATGTTTGTGAAAATAAGCTAACACATGTGCACAAGGTGATACACTTGGTGGTTAGCACATTTGAGCAAGGGTAGAAAACTTCATCGGGTGGAGTGTCCGCCAGAGAGTGCGGACGATCCGGCGGGTGCCACCGGCGCCCCTAGATGAAAAAGACGAAGGTCACTTTGGGAGTGACCGGACGCCGGCCTCGGTTGGACCGGCGTGTCCGGTCAGGTGTAACAGCGAAGACGCTGGCATCGGACAAACGACCGGACGCTGGCAGGGTGCGTCCGGTCAGTGCTGACGTATGCTGACGTGAGGCGCACAGAGAAGACGTTGAGTGACCGGACGCTGGGTGAGTCCGGTCGGACATGACCGAACGCGTCCAGTCATAAAAATTCGTGTTTGGAACCTTACTGGAAATGACCGGACGCTGAGGTCCAGCGTCCGATCACTTTCTAACTGACGCGTCCGGTCATCTCTTGACCGTTGAGATCGGGCGATTGGCGTTTGAAGCCAATGACACGTGGCGAAGATCTGAGGACCGGACGTTGGGGTCCTGCGTCCGGTCAATATGACCGGAGCGTCCGGTCACCCCGCGTTGTGTCCAGTAAAGGGGTGCAACGGCTCTATTTTGTGGGGGCTTCTATTTAAGCCACATGGCCAGCTCAAGCTCACTCTCTTGGCAATTTGCATTGACTTAGCAACTTTGTGAGCTTAGCCAAAGCCCTCCCACTCATCTCCGTCATTGATTCGTCATCTTTGTGAGATTGGGAGAGAATCCAAGTACATTGCTTGAGTGATTGCATCCAGAGGCACTTGGTATTCGTGTTTTGCTGCGGATTTCGCTTGTTGTTCTTGGTGATTGCCACCACCTAGATGGCTTGGTGTAGCGGTGGAGGATTGGCACGAGTTGGTGATTGTTCGTGGCCATCTCCGGTGATTGTGAGGGGATTTGTAGCTTTCCCGGCAGAGCGCCGAAAGGTAACTCTAGTGGATTGCTCGTGTCATTGAGTTACCTCACTTGTGGGTAGGTTCTTGTGGTGTCCAATCGTGTGGACGAGGTTTGTGCAACACCTCTTAGCCGCTGAACCACCAAGTGTTGATCGACACAACGAGGACGTAGCGTGTTGGCAAGCACGTGAACCTCGGGAGAAAATCGGTTGTCTCTTGCCATTTGACATTCTCTCGGTGATTGATTTATATTCATCTTGTGATTGGTTCATCCCTCTACACGGCGGTATAATCACCTCACTTACTCATTTACTTTTTCGCAAACTAGCTATAACAAGCTCTTTAGTGTAGCTAGATTTGAGAGCTTGCTTTATGTATTAAGTTCATCTAGTGGAGCTCTTTAGTGGAGCAATTGTGAGAGCTCTTAGTGAGTAGTGATCTAGTAAATTGTGTGCTTAGTGATCATAACAACTAGAATTGTTGGATAGGTGGCTTGCAACCCTTGTAGAGCTAGAGCAAGTTTGCATTTCGCTATTTATTATACTAATCAAATTGCTCTAGTCGATTTGTAGATTTTTAAATAGGCTATTCACCCCCCCTCTAGCCATATTAGGACCTTTCAGTCGTTCAGGCAACCGACGAGCTGACCGCTGAGGGCACGCCCACACCGAGGGAGGCCGCCAAGCGACTATCCAGGCTCACTGAGGAGGTCCAAGTAATGAGACAGCCACCTCTCATCAGCTCCCCGCCCAAGCAGAAGCCAGCACCAAAGCGGACCACTGTCCATTAGGAGCAGATTTGGATTGTCGCTAGCGATGGACCACATCCCAGCGTCCAAACGCGCGGCAAGCACCGCTCATGAAGAAGATGGGGATCCTGGAAACTTCAACACCGGTCTCCTCTGCAGGCAAGCGTTCGTATGATTCGTACTTCCAGGGCACCCTATCGGAAGCAAACATCGAGGCGCTTAATGAGCTGTTCACAGCATCCAGGGCGATGACTGGTGGAGCAGCGCGGTCTGATACCTTTGCTAGATCGTAGTCTAGGTTGATCCAATGGATCCCAATGTTGTCATAGTCAAAATGTAGTCCCTTTGAGGTAACCGTCGGACTGGGAGCGGTCTCTCTTGTATTTCAAACTTCTATCTTCTTAATACAATGATATGCAATGCTCTTGCGTATTCGAGAAAAGAAAAAAAAATATAAGTGATTATCTACATAATAAGCGATGACGCTGAGGCATATATTTCCATGGGAGATGGGACATGGTTGAGTTCCTTGCCATAGGTTTTACTCCAGATGGATCCTGAACCTGATGCTGACACACTGTGTATAGGCATTGAATGAAACAATTGCCAAATTCCTCCCAACCTCTTGGTTTGAGCTTATTGAAAGACTGCTACCAAAACCTTGTTGCAATTCAAACCGTCTGATGCTTCAGAATCGACATGTGCGGCTAAATGCTCCAATACCTTGCCTATGCTATATGGAACCGTGGAAGACGTCTACCTAAGTAGGGATGAAAACGGTCGGAATATATCCCGTACCGTCCCGCATCGTTTTCTACATTTCACCTGCTCGAATTCGTATTTTTGGACAAATTCAAATTTGGTACGAAATACGGAATACCAAATTCGAAAATGGAATGGAAACGATTTAAGTGTTTTTTCCCCGACCGTTTTCTACTTTTCGCTTTTTATTCGGAATATCCTGTTTTTGAAATTCAGTTTATGCCGTTTTTGGCCCACTAGAAGTTCAGCCTTAGAAAAATTGTATCTTTTCCGTACGATCTCAGATGAAGAAGATTTTTATATAAAAATTGTAGCTCTCCACGATATCTACATCTTTCTAGTTTTTAGTTTTTTCATTTGAGGTCATTAAATGTTCAAAAATTAAACAAAATTCTCAGCAGTATATGAATAGTTTACGAGCACATGTTGCCTTAGAAAAATCATAAGTTTCTTATATGGCGTCAAATGGAGACTTGGTCAATATTCCATATTGATCTTTCGTATACCGACTGTGTTCGACATAATTTCGCTCGAATTAGTTTGTTTTTGAAATTCTCGGTATTCCGTAAGTTCATGTTCATTTTCGTGTCTAGCTTTACCGCTTTCGTTTTCGTTTTCGTATTCAAATATATAAGTAGAAAATGGTAGAGAGATTTTCCACCGTTTTCATCCCTATACTATACCTGAGCAAGTTTAGGTCAATTTAGAAAATTTTAACTCACAGCCTGTGGCGTGTGAAATGTGAAATCGCCACATAATGCTGAGCTGAGCACTAAGCTTATTTCCTGCATGCATTTCATTTCCACGGTAATGCGGAAGT